CGTCGTTTTTTTTTTTTTTATAGTAATAAAAATCATTTAGTTCAGAAAAAGAACAGACGCTACTATTAAAAACTGAACGCGGCTGCTCAATGCAGCGTGCCGAACGACAGTCGCATCACACAGATCAGATTTCATTTCTTGAACTTTATCATCTTCAGTCTTTGCACACACACAGCTATTCACTTATGCACTTTGTTTTTCAGTCTTTTTTATGTATTTTTTTTCTTCAGAAAATTGCATTGTAATTTTTATTTATTCATTGATGTAAAATTCTGTACTTTTTAGTAAGGCCGGTATAACTGAAATGTTCTACAAATGGAAAAGATAGCTCTGCCATAGCATTTCAGTCTTTTTTTATTTATGTTTTTTTATAATGTATTAAAATGTACTTGAGTATGTTTGTAGTAATACAAATATACTATAAACATACTTGTATTTCAAGTGCATTTTTAATACATTTAATAGTATGTTTTGTTTTTCACCAAAGTATATATGCTTGTAATTGTTATTTGTAATGTACACAACAATATATAATACATTAAAGTTTTCTAGATATCAAAGTGTGTACGTGTGTGTATATACTGATAAAAGCAGCTTTATAATATACTAGTAGTGTAATGCTAATGCATTTCCAATGAGCTGAAATACAATTGAAATGTACTTGAAGTACATTAAAACGATGCTTCAAATATACTCTAACTGTAGTTCATGAAGTATTAAAAGGACATTTTAAATGTATTTTAAGAAATACACTTAAATTGCACTAAATATACTTAAAGTGGTTCCATTTTAACACAATTTCAATATATTAAATATATTACAAATAGATTAAAATCAAACTTAAACATATCTTGAAATACACTTAATATACTTAAAGTTGTTTCAAAATAATACATTTAATATGCACTTAGTATAGTATAATTTAAATATAGTAAGTATGTCTGAAAAAGCACAATTTAAATATATTTCTTTTTCACCTGGGTACTGTATAAACGTTCATTTTAATACAATTGATGAGGGTTTCAATTATGTTTACCCATAGTAATAATAATGTTTATCATCAGTGATTTTCGCGTTTCATAGTGGAAAAAAAAAAAAAACTTTAAAACGGAATATTTTTCGTGAAATTTCAGGAGACAGTTGATAAAACATGCATTATTCCTCCAGATTTTATGGCTGTGGTAAACCTAACCAGCCAGCAGATGGCGCTGTTCCTGTAAAATAAATTAATAATAAAAAAGTATCGATTTTAAAACCATAGGCTAAATAGGTTTATATTTTAATTCAGTCCAAACAGCTTTTTCATATCTCTATCATTTGTAAACCTGTCCCTTATTTTAGGACGAGAACTGAATTGTGTTCTCAGGATTAAAAGTGTGTGCATTGGCTTTTACTGGTGTTTCTGTTTTTGTGTTGTTCACGCTTTGTCTGTTGTTTGTCTTTGTTTTGAGGCTGCAGCAGCTCACAGCCTCCACGATGCAGCTTTAACCAGACACACGCTGATCCATTTATTTATTTATTTATTACACCCACAATCTGATTCCTGGAAAACACGTGACACAATGAAAGCGAAACTAAAAGTAGCCGAACCTGGTATACATGGTAGAGATGTGTGCATATGTTTATTCACTGTGATTTGTATCTATATCTTCAGTTTCATTTGCTTTGCATCCATTCTAAAGATGTAATGCGACCAGTCATGCTTGTTTGATCTTCTTATTATTATTTCAATGCTACTGTGTATACATATATTACAGTTTTTCTCAGTCGCTTTGGTACATTTCTCGAATCATCCTTGACATTTGCAAAACAGTAAGTGCATTTCTCAAAACAACTCGTACAAATAGCAAAACACCATGGATTACCTGCAAAAGCCAGTCTCTTGCTCAAAATCCTTAGTTCATCTCTCAAAAATAAATATCTGTGTCAATGAACATGTCAGTGCCATCAGAATGACAAGTCCTTGTGTCACTGTGTACGGATAAGACAGTCAAATTGCTTAGTCATGTGTTCAATATAACAGTGTACTCTGGAGGGATGTTCTGATGTAAACTATGGAGAGGAACTCCATCAGCATCCTGTTGTGGGCTGCAAACCATTGCCTGATGATGTTGGAGCGATGGAAACTGACATTGTCCCAAACTATCACGTACTTTGGCAGGTCATCTCCAATCTGACCCCTCTCTTGTTCAGGGATGATATCCCTGTAGAGAGTGTCTAAAAAGGTGACAAGACACTCTGTATTGTATGGCCCAATAATGGGAATATGCGTTAGCACACCATTCTCAGAGATAGCAGCACCCATGGTTATGTTCCCGCCCCGTTGGCCTGGCACATCAACTGTAGCTCTGTGGCCGATGATATTTCGACCACGCCTTCTGCGTTTCGTTAGGTTGAAGCCAGCCTCATCCATGTAGATGAAGCTGTGCGGTGGTTCAGTTTTGATGACATTTATTGTAAATTGTAGGTTACACCTTAGTGTATGTGGGAGTTTGATTGCAAGAGACTGGACAAGATTCACATTTATGCTTTTACTGTTTGTACTGTAATTGGTTGACAGACCATGTCATTGCGATACAGAAAGGAAAACACAGCACTGCATAGCACAAAGGAAAAAAAACAAAAGTAGAAATGTGAACATAGGACAATCTCCTTAGGCACATATTGCATCTTCTTTTCTACAGCCATAACAAATGTGTAAAGGTCACACTTACTGTACTGTATATCACTATACGATGTTGTACTGTTTACTGTGAGGTACAGTTGCTGCATGCTCGTACATGTTTTACCTGTACATACTGGTAGCACAGCTCCTTCACCATTTCTTTCAAATGGAATAGTGTACAGCTGCTTCATATTCATTTGGTGTCTTTTCAGCACCCTGTCAATGGTTGAGATGCTGACTGTTTGGATGTTTTCAAAGATGTTGTTGTCCTCTATAATGGCACTCTTTATCTCCCTTAGTCTTATGGCATTGTTTTCTACAACCATGGTGCAAATAGCCTCCTCCTGTCCCTGTGAAGTTGTCTTGCAGTCCTATGTGGAAAAAATATAGTAATGCAAAACACAAAATTGAGTAAGATAAAATGTCACTGTTTAAAGTATACTTACTGTATATTGTAAAATGCAAGTGGAATACCTTTAATAATGTATGAAGCATTACAGAAAGTATACAGTATTACAGTACAGTGCCTATTGTTAGATTACATACCTGTTCTGTCGAAGAAAAGTCTAAATGATTGAGTACACAGTTGTTCTCCCAACATTTGGCTGCACCCTTCGACCAGCCTCGGCCATTGTAAGCCCATGATTGAGAATGTGGTCTACAAGTGTGGCTCTTATCTCATCAGGAACACGCATATGTCCTCGGCCTCTTCCTCCGCTTTGCCTCCTAACTCCTCCGCCACGTCGCCTCACCCCTCTTCTCTCTCGCTGTCGACCTCGTTCTATTCCTTGCCCTTAGTCTTATGGCATTGTTTTCTACAACCATGGTGCAAATAGCCTCCTCCTGTTCAGGTGTGAAAAGGGGCCCTCTGCCACCCCTGTGAAGTTGTCTTGCAGTCCTATGTGGAAAAAATATAGTAATGCAAAACACAAAATTGAGTAAGATAAAATGTCACTGTTTAAAGTATACTTACTGTATATTGTAAAATGCAAGTGGAATACTGTAATATTGTATGAAGCATTACAGAAAGTATACAGTATTACAGTACAGTGCCTATTGTTAGATTACATACCTGTTCTGTCGACGAAAAGTCTGAATGATTGAGGACACAGTTGTTCTCCCAACATTTGGCTGCACCCTTCGACCAGCCTCGGCCATTGTAAGCCCATGATTGAGAACGTGGTCTACAAGTGTGGCTCTTATCTCATCAGGAACACGCATATGTTGCCTCCCAACTCCTCCGCCACGAAGCCTCACTCCTCTTCTTCTTCTCTCTGGCTGTTGACCCCGTCCAATTCCTTGTCCTTCCATTGTCAGAGACTGAAACATTGTGTTGTGCTCCGGCTATATATATATACACTTGCCAGTTGATGGTTCATGAGATGCACCTTCGTTAGAGAAAATCACGATTCACCTGGGAGCAATTTACCAATGCAGGACAGATTTAGAAAAAAAGTCTAATGGAAATGTATAGAAATATGCTTGACATATGACAACTTGTTCAACCATTCTGCATGTAAAGACTTATGCTATGAACTAATGCCTAAATGTTGTGGGGGGTGAGACTATTCAACAGAGACCCATTATAATACATTTTGATCAACATGACATAAGCAATTGATAATGTAGGAAACAGCAGAGAATTGTACATAATCATTTGCATGGATGTACCAAAGCATTTGCAACTTGTTCAAAGAAATGAGAAACTGCTTTTTTGATGTGCACAAGTGACACAATGATGTGAAGATTGAACAGGTAGTTTTGAGAATTTCAATTCTGATCTGAGAAATGTACCAAAGCGACTGAGAAAAACTGTAATATACATACTGACTTCAACTTGGACCACTAAATAAATAGACTGCTATTGTTATGTAAGTATGACGGTTAGATTATTTAGTGTACAGGTCATTTCAAGTGTGATAAACAAAATTATTGAAAATATTTATTTTCATGCATTTTAAATGTTTAAAAATGTGGAAACCACTCATTGCATCACACCATCTCCTGACTGCATTATTATTTGTAAAATAGGGGCTTTATGCAGTGTGTGTATACATGGTTATAAGCAGTGTTGGGAGTAACGCATTACAAAAGTAATAATATTACAGTAGTATATTACTTTTAGCTGTAACGCAGTAATATAACGCATTACTAATAAAATTTGGGTAATATTATTACTCGTTTGTCGACGAAAAGTCTGAATGATTGAGGACACAGTTGTTCTCCCAACATTTGGCTGCACCCTTCGACCAGCCTCGGCCATTGTAAGCCCATGATTGAGAACGTGGTCTACAAGTGTGGCTCTTATCTCATCAGGAACACGCATATGTTGCCTCCCAACTCCTCCGCCACGAAGCCTCACTCCTCTTCTTCTTCTCTCTGGCTGTTGACCCCGTCCAATTCCTTGTCCTTCCATTGTCAGACATTGAAACATTGTGTTGTGCTCCGGCTATATATATACTTGCCAGTTGATGGTTCATGAGATGCACCTTCGTTAGAGAAAATCAAGATTCACCTGGGAGCAATTTACCAATGCAGGACAGATTTAGAAAAAAAGTCTAATGGAAATGTATAGAAATATGCTTGACATATTATGACAACTTGTTCAACCATTTTGCATGTAAAGACTTATGCTATGAACTAATGCCTAAATGTTGTGGGGGGTGAGACTATTCAACAGAGACCCATTATAATACATTTTGATCAACATGACATAAGCAATTGATAATGTAGTAAACAGCAGAGAATTGTACATAATCATTTGCATGGATGTACCAAAGCATTTGCAACTTGTTCAAAGAAATGAGAAACTGCTTTTTTGATGTGCACAAGTGACACGGTGTGAAGATTGAACAGGTTGTTTTGAGAATTTCAATTCTGATCTGAGAAATGTACCAAAGCGACTGAGAAAAACTGTAAGTGAGGTACGAAGAACGGGCCCCTGCTGTGGATGCTAAATGAACAACAACAAACTGAATCCTTACAATGTCAGAGATGTGTTCATGTTTTTGGAGATGATGCAGTTTGGAATTATATTATTATTATTAAATAATAATTGTTATAAAATTAGACATTTTGGCACATTTATCCAATGAAACTTTGCAGTACGTTTAGCAGTATTTTACAGTGTATTTTATAATCTATCAGTGTATTTGTAAAGGCACAGTGCCACAACACAGATGGTTGTTGGGTCATTTGGTTGTTGGTTCCCCAGGTCTGAATTGGTGCAAATAGGAGTGCAGTTCTGTGTTGAGACATTACTCTTATGTGTGCTGTAATGTATAAGTTGAAAGCTTTGAATTGACACAAAATAGAGTAAATGGTTTTATTGAATAGAATTCATTAATCAACAGCTATATTTATCAACAACATAGGTCACAGCAGTTTATTTAAAGGGCACCTATTATGCAAAATCCACTTTTACAAGGTGTTTGGACAGAAATGTGTGTTGGAGTTGTGTGTACACAGCCACCTTAGAATGATAAAAATCCATCCAGTCATTTTTTTTTTTTTTAATCTTCATAAAACCAAACCAGGCTCAAAAAACGAGCGGTTTGCATCCAAACCGCAATATGACGTTATATGTCGGCAGCCCCGCCCACCACTATTGACTGACAGGCACGCACGCTTTACCATATCCACAGCTCTCAGTGTGTTGTGCCGTGTCTGCCATTTTGTCTCTCCACAGCGTCTCTGAGATACGGCCTGTCAAAGTTGCAGATTTGACGTGGCCACCACTCCGGGCTTTCTCATTGAACCGCCTGAGCCGCTCAGAGTTCAGACGAGCTTGGGTTTGACTTCCACCCCCTCCGAGCTGCTCGTCCAAACCGGAGAGAGCACGCCTTCCCCGGGGAGAGCGGGTGGGTCGGAGGGGGTGGAAGAACTCGGTTCGAACGCTTATATTTCGGCGAGGCGGGGGTCCTGGGAGCCCAAACCCAGGTGTGAGGTAGACCCTTGCAGCCCCGTCCGGACGCCATCGGCCCCGTGGTCTGGCAAGGTCCGGTTCGGAAGAAATCGGGCCGTGAAGCCGTAACTTCGCGGGGCGATTTATCCGCCATGCCCAGAGCTAGCGACTCGGGGGCCTTCTCTCATCGACCCGAGTTTGAAGCTGACTCTGGTTTATACATGTACGGCTGAACACCGGCCCTCTCGATCTCACTCATGTTGCTTCTCTCGGTTTATTGTCATACACAAAAGCAGAGACGTCTAGGCTCCGCCCCCTGCTGGAGTCGGGCGGGAAATTGCAGCTCATTTACATTTAAGGAAATCCACCCTTGAAACAGCACTTTTTAGACCCGCCCCAAAAATTACATTTTCAGCACGTTATAATAAACGATCTGTATGGTATTTTAACATGAAACTTCACAGGCACATTGTGGAGAGCCATAAGATTAATATTACATCTTGAAAAAAGGGGCATAATAGGTGCCCTTTAAAATAACTCACTCTTTGAATCTCCTCTGTGAATATTAATAAAACTGGTTCAGGGATTTTTATACATTCAGTGGTGAAATGAAGATCGCATGATCAAATGACAATCAAATGAAATAAATGACAATTAATGCCCCGCATTTTAGGAGGCGGATATACTGTGAAATTACATACAATAAGGCATAACATTTGAAAGCACAACTGAACGTCTAGGAAACGTCAGTCAATAAAGCATTTTTAAACAATGGCACTTAAATTTGAACTGCAACCATGTATCCTATGAATACATGAAAAATTTAACAAATTTGAATGAAACAGAACATATAGAGTGTGGGCTGTTTTTGGTGCTTGAATTTGTCTTTCAATAATGAGGTCCAAGTTTAATAGCTAATACACTAGAAGTAAAATTTTTAAAAAATTGTTAATTTTGTTTCTCCATTTAACAACATTCACTTACAATAGTGAAAGACGTCTTCCCTCAGGTCATTTGTATGCTTTGCAGCTGGGTGTTGTGCTTAACTTCAAGCTGTTGTGGTCGCGCCGTTGTAGACATTACCATCCGTCAAGCAGGTAACGTTATTATATGGCGGACTCATCGAAAAATACACTGGCATCATCTGTATAAGAGAAATTAATCACTTCATCCGATGTTTAAGTGAATAAAATAGCCTTGACAGTCGAGTTCCACAACTACTGACTTTGTTCTAGCTCACCGGACTTTTTTCGGCGGGGTTCCTCCGGTAAAATTTGCATTCATATCACGTTATTGGGGTCGCTTCAACCCATGGCAACAGTGTTACAGTAGCTCAGTTCCACGGGAAAACCACGAACTTGGCAACACTGAGGGGATGTAAAAGAGGAAAGCAGGCATTTGGACCAAAGCACTGTGAGTAAAGGGAGGCCCTTTTGCGTTGTTTTACTAAAAAGTTATTTAAAAGTATAAAACAATTTACAATACAGAGCGTGGTTTTTAATCACATTTTTAGGGATGGGGGTCATGCGCCCCCCCCCCCGACCCCTTTGGGATTTCCGCCTATGCTTACGATCAATAATCTCATCTCTGCATTCGCCCAAACTGATTTGCAGAAATCCCACTCCCTGTGAAGCAGGAGCGACCAGGCGGCAGAGGATTCCGCGTGGTCTTAAAGCCTTCCTGTAGCAGCTATGTTCGCAATTCAAACAATAATTCGTAAAAATAATAATTCATTTGTTATTTGTATGGTCTAGGTGGTCATACGGCATATGCCTGCAAATATGGGACGAACTGCGTTCCGTATAGCTTTCATACGGAACGCTTCTCTGATGCCTTTAATACGGGACAATTCCATATTAAATGGAATGGTTGGCAACCCGATTTAAGACGCAAAAGAGAATTGTCTCTGGGGCCCCCTACTGCTCGGGGCCCTGGGCTGCAGCCCATGAGGATAACGCGGCCCTGCTCAGCGGACTTTCAGCACTCAATGTCAAAATGATTGAGATGACCAATCAAATCAAAGTAGGTGGGGTTTACTCTTCAGAAGCAGAGCGCGAATTCCTGCTCGAAGAATTACGTTTAACTTTGAAAGAGAGCAAGGTAAGATGATGAAGTAGCGAAACACCTAAGTATATTATTGAACACAATTATATATAAATGAAATATATTCTTGTGTCATCTCAACTGCAACTTTTGCGTTCTCATAAGCAGTGTCGGGCAGTAACTAGTTACAGTAATATTACTTTTTGCAGTAACTAGTATTGTAACTAATAAGAGTTCAGTAATATTACGGTTACCATACATAAAACAGCTCGTTACTTAGTTACTTTTGATGCCTCAACCCCTACTGATATGAAATCCAATAATTCCTAGATTTACTTACAATTTTCATGGTACATGAAGTCACCAGTGTATCAAGAAAGCTTGGAATAAGGAAGCTTACATTCAGGGGATGGAAATATTGCCATTACAATGACTTTGTCAGGAGAAAAAGGTGATCTGAACACAGATGTGTAAGTGGTGGCATTACATGGCTCGCCCACCCACATCCCTCTGATCCAGATATAAATTATTACTATAATTAAAAATATGAACTTATGCAATTTATTTTGATAAAATACTTATATAAACTGTCACAGATCGAGCCAGAGACAACAGGTGAGTGAATGAACAGGCAGGTTATTGACAGGCGTGTGGAAGCAGATCGTGAAGATCAAATGGCAGGTAAGTATCAAACACAATGATCAGTTCAATGGTTCTTAGCTGTATGCTGATGTGTGGTTTCTTTGCAGGTTCGTAGGAGATCGGAGACCAGGAACGGAGGAGAACACCATCGGAGAATTGTCAGGAGATCTAGAGGCAAGTACACACAGGTAAGTAGTGCACAGAGTCTGGGAACAGTTCAGGAATGTGAACGATAGACCGGACGATGAGTGACTGAGAGGAGCGTGTTCTTAAAGGTGGCTTGATTGGAGACGGCAGCTGCAGGTGATCAGAATTCAGGCGAGTGCGATCTGGTGTGAGTGGTGGCTGATGATTGTGGTGACGGTGGAGGCAGTGACTGCGTGGATTTGCTGACACATATTTGGGTAACAGAGAAAGTACAGTTACAATTAGCTTCAAGCTACACATGACAATTAATACAACACTTTTACTAAAAGTCACTATCAATCACCATTGAGTGTTTGTAAAAATTCTGATTGCGATCCAATGTAGATTTTGGTCAAATGATGAGGCAGAAATATATTGTTAGTAAGATTTTAGAAGAATTTTATGGGGAAGAAACACAAAACTAAAACTTCAAAGCCTTTTCGAATTGTTTTGTTTCTAACCAGTGATTCGGAACTCGTTTCAAATGTATACTTCAGAGCCTGACCTTAATTAAAGAGTATTATACCCAAGGCTATACACATCATATTAAACACATATAACTGTGTCAGCTTATAGGTTTACAGTCTATTGGCTGCACAGTGCTGTTCAGTTTTGAGAAACAGGGAGCAGGAAACACGAAGGCCATTTTCATTGCTGTGTAGGTCCAGTGATTTAGATGTAGTAGAAAACAGTGTGCAGTTTACTTCACTTGTGGCTCTACAGTTCTAGAAGCTTTGGCATGTCTTGTAAGGGTAATTTTTCAATCCACATGCTTTCAATAAAACTGAGAACCAGTATTTGGAACCTCGTCTGGATCTTTGTACAATAAAAGACACTGGCAGCTTATGTAACTGCACGACTGTTAATTCATGTTGCACGAGCGCTATCTGCTGGACAGAGAGTCACCAAACATGTTAGTGATTATAGAATAACAGCAAAGCTTAAATCATTTGTGTTAATGTATAAAGAGAAAAAATAGTTTGTGAGAAGAATAAAACAAGACCTATACACAAAAGTAAATGCCAGTGAAAATAATTTACTATTATTCTAATTAATGACAACGAAAAATACATTATAAATACAATAGTGACTGTATGTTCATATAATACAGAGAGAATTAAAAACAAATCCCATGCATAAAAAAAAGATAAATCAAAACAATATAGATAATTTAGTCTTATTTAATCTTATTAATCATCTTAAAGTTCAAGAGTCACATATAGATTACTAAAATCGGTACAAATGTTCTTCTTTTAAAAGTTTGTGTTGATATATTTCACTGCACCTTATGAATAATAAATAAAATTGCTTAATATTATAATTGCAACCAATTAAATTAAAAAACAAAAACCAACACTTTAAAAAATTAATATGTGACAGCATTTAGCCTACATGTAATAGTGAGAGGAATCAGGAGTGAGTGCAGAGGCGTTGTGATGTTAGTTCTAAACTAAATGCCAGCATGCATTTACTCATCTCACCTGCACAAAAACAGATTCAGTATTCCTCAAAATGAATAAAAACAGTCAAATGCAAACTCAGGACATGACGCAAACATGTTAAATAACACAAATATCCTTTATGTATTTGAATCCATTTTATTAACCAGTATCTTTGCTGCTGACCTTCGATGATCAACCATACTAATAAGCAAAAATGACTTCAGATGAACATGACATTTGTGTTTCTTTTTTGTTGGTTTGTTGGTTTCCGAAGAGAGAAATGAGGCCAAGGCAGATGAGAAAAAGTAAAGCAAAAGTAACATAGCACATTACTTTCCATAAAAAGTAACTAAGTAACGTAATTAGTCACTTTTTTAGGAAGTAACACAATTTTGTAATGCATTACTTTTAAAAGTAATTTTCCCCAACACTGGTCACATATAGATTACTAAAATGGCTCCCTATCGGTACAACTGTTCTTCTTTTAAAAGTTTGTGTTGATAGGCCTATTTTTCACTGCACCTTATAAATAATATGTAGCCTACAATTGTTTAATATTATAATTGCAAACAATTAAATTAAAAAAGTAAAACTAACACTTTAAAAAAGAATAATATGTGACAGCATTTAGCCTACATGTAATAGTGAGAATTAAAAAAAACAAATCCCCATGCATCATTTAGACAGCAGTCATATATCATAGAGTTAAATAATCACACATAGATCGATATAATAGGCTACTATTCTGTTCCCAGATCAGAACATTCGTTCTTCTCCTTTTTAAAAAGTTTTTGTTGCTGTTTCTTTGCCTTTTTCACGGCACCTTTGGCATTCGCATAGTTGAGTTTTGCTGCATTCTTTATTGCGTCACACACCGAATCCGTTTCTTCCGCGGCTTTGCATCCGGTAACTCCTCCCCCAATCGCTCCGGCAAGAGCCGCGACTCCAACAGCGACACCTGCAGCGGCAGCGGCAGCGATACCCGAACCAGCCACTCCGACCCCGACCCCGGCCCCCGCAGCGACGATCCCCGCCTTCACCGCCGCTGCTCCCGCCGCTATTCCCGTGGCTCCCGCGGCCCCGGCTACGGTTCCGGCTTTCACCACTCCGGGAATGTTGGCGGCTTTCAGTAAAGTCACTACGGAGGCCACAGCGACACCGATGCCCAGAAAAGCACCTGTTAGTGTTCCCGTGGTCACTCCCGCAAGTCTGATGAGAAGTTTTTTGTGCACCACCTTTTTCGCCGCTTCTCGCTTCTCTTCTGGCGACAGACTGTCCTCGTTTATGTTCTTCATCTCCTCTTGAATCTCCTCCTCCACTATCTGAAGCAGCTCGTTGGTGTAGCAGCCGTTCTGATTGTCCTTCAGCTTCTGCTCGATGGTCTCCAGCAGGTTTTTCACCTGGACTCTGTTGCTCCTGTATCCCATTTTACGATTTTTCCAGTATTTGCTGTCGATGACGTGACAGCGGCCTCCACATTTATCAATGAGCTCCTGCAGCTTTGGACTCATCTTGACAAATTCCTCGATGGTTTGACCTTCCAGCTGTTCTCCGTGAGTGAATAAAACCACCGAATGATTGAAGGTGTCTTCTCCACAATACTCAACGATTTTATCCACGATCTCCATCTCTTGTCCCGTGTATCTCCCAACCTTCAGGACGATGGTGAACATGTCTGGACCCGGAGAGCTTTCGATCACAGACCGAATGATCTCGGATTTGATGGCCTCCTCATTCAGACCGGTGTCGAAGAGTCCAGGCGTGTCAATAACGCTGATCTTTTTGCCGTGGACCTTCCGGTCTCCACTGACACATTCAGCCGTCACTGATTCAGGCGAAGCTTTGCTCTTGAAGACTTGTTGTTTGAGAATCGTATTCCCGGCGCTGCTCTTGCCATCTCCGGTTTTCCCAAGAAGTACAATCCTTTTCTCAGGTTGAGAGTCAGAAGCTTTGGGGGAAAAAATAGGCTGTTGTTAATAAGGTAATTTACTATTTTAATAATAAACTGTGAGGTCTACAGATCTTATTTCTTGAAAATGTAATCATAATATGGAAGTCCATTCTTGCCACTTAAGAAAAAAACATGCTTTTAGGGCTTTTATGAGATAAAAAAAAGTTCAAATTGAGATAAAAAGTTTATTAAGTGTCATAATGTTGACATAAAGTCATAAATATGCCATAAAAAGTATTGGCATACTAAGTCATAATTATGAAAAGCTGAAATTATGATATAATTTAAATTATGAGATACTATCAAAATGATGGAAAAAGTCATAATTATGAGATAAAAAGTTTAAAATGATGATATAAAAGTCAAAAATATGACATAAGTCACTTGTGAGATAAGTTAAAATTATTATATAAGTCATGATGACATAGAAAGAAATTATAAGATAAAAAGTTTAAAATATGACATACTAAGTCATAATAATGACAAAAAGCCATAATTATGTAATGAATCTCATAGAAAGTTTATATTATTACAGTCATAATTATGAGATAAAAGTCAAAATTGTGACATAAAAATCTAAATGATGATATAAAAAGTAACGATTATGCCATAAAAAGTCAAAATTATGACATACTAAATTAAGATTATGAGACTCGGAAGCTATTTGATAAATATGCTATTGCTATGAAAGAAAATTACTGTTTTAATAATAAACTGTGAGGAGTACAGATTTATACTAAGTCTTTAATGCATAACAACAGTAATCTGCTGCTATAAGGCCTCAGATTGAAGCAAAGTCTGAATTATTTTAAAGATATTTTGAAGAACAGTGCGGGCCAAACAACATTGAACCCCACCGATTTTCATCGTATGTAAAAGCAATTTGAGACATTTCTAAAAAAAAAACGTATTTTTCTAAAGTCATACAGTTCTGAAACAACATGAGGATCAGTAAATGATGACCAATTTCATTTTGGGGTGACCTGTCCCTTTAAGAGTGGTATAGTATCTGAATTTCTAAAGGTTAAAAACTCTAGTAACTTTTCATCTTAAATATGGCAACATATGGAATTGTTCAAAGTCAAAGTTCAAAAAAAGACTTCAAAAATCATAAGGAAAGTCATATTTTTTTAATGGTGTCATTTCTTACCTCCCATATTCTTGTCCGAGCTGCCGTAATGAATAATATTACGTTCCACTAATGATGTTTCTATCTAAAATCTCATCCAGTCATGGTTCCTGGTTCTCAGTCTGATAAATGAACAAAAAGCTACTGTAACATAAACGCCATTCGATGTCTATCAGCGAACAGCTTTAAGAGTTTCACTGCTCGAAACACCCTTAAATGAGTCACTGGACACTACAGATGAGCTACAGGAATTACCAGAACGACCAGTCCTCTGTACGCTTTCACGCACCTCCTACTTCACAGCGTCACACCCTCATCTTCACAGCAAATTCCTTCAGAATCAGCGCTTTGGTAAACAAACTCAACTCGGTTATTTGCAGAATACAATAATATTCACATTAAGTTACTGTGTGTTTTCATTCACTGGAATCAAATAGAAGATGGAAAGATGTAGTTTCATTGTTACCAACACCAGTATGAATAGTATTTGCATTTTATTCACCAAAAATTGCTTTATGAACATACTTTCTTTTTTTTCTTTTTTTAAATAATAAATTATGTCTTCAATGTATAAAAACAGTAATCTTCTGTTGTCATATGTTAAGTATGAACTGGATGATCTGTCATTGAATGGGTACAAGTTCAAGGCCTCAAATTTCAGAGTCAGAGAAGTCCTTAAAAGAGGTAGTATTTTCATGTCAGATATGGCAACATTTGCTATTGTTACTTCAAAAAGTACTTCAAAATCTCATGAAATCATGTTTTAAAAAGATACTTTCCATGACCCATCTTCATGTTTCTTACGTCACACATTGTTCATTGGTTTCTCTGGAGATCCTATAAACGAACCAGATCGCAGGGTGGAGCGAATGTTGCTCTTTATGAATAACACACCCAACTGACATTTCTACATTTAGCCTATAAAGCTTTCTTATGGATGATCACAAGGAAAAATACAATTAAATTTAAAAATATACACAGTTACAAACCTAGTTTTCAAAAGAGGGAACCGTTATAACCTTCAAAAGAATATGAGTGACAAAATCATTATATCGATGTGCATTTATATATTTTATCAAATTGTTTGTTTTTACGACCAACTTCTAATTGATTTTAAACAAGTGACAAATCAGTAAATGTGCTTACACAACTCATCAAATTACTTCTGAAAAAGTAAATGCAAAACATCTTGATAAAAAATGACGTTTGATGAACATACATTATGAATCCAGATAAACAAGTTTGGTAAGTTAGAGTTATGCCCTTATATGTAATGCATTGATAAATGTGCCATTTTTCACTGAAGTGTTCATAAAAAGTCACACCGTGGCCATTTTCTGAAAAGCTTAAGAGTGGAAAAAAAAAACATATCTTTTTTAAAACACATTCAAAATCCTGTGACTTTTCTTGATAATTTATGATCTGAATGAACTGAATAAAGTCAATGAATAAAAGTTGATGATCTCTTTATATTTCTTTATTATAAATACTTTATCAATTAAACCTTTTACTGATATTTCATTGTGGAAGCTTGTAGACAGTCATGTCATATTCATGCACTTTACTAGAAGATCATAAGCTGCAAGACAAAATGAAAATTGGAAAATAAATAAACACATTTTATTTATTTTTCTGATAAACGATGCCTTAACAGCTGGAAACATATACTTTTTACAAATATATAAACTGAAACCCCAAAACCAATAAACAAAGTGTAAATTAGAATACAAACTTGTTTACATATCACAATGAAACTTTATTTGTTCTTGATACATTTGAAAATATTATAGAAAATAATATAAAAATGGTTTGCTCTGAAATTGTTCATTTTCATTATAACACATGAACGCAGACCTGGCTGAAATGCTACTGTGATGCAACGTGTCAATGATAACACTTTATGGAAGGCAGATAGGGCCAAAAGTATTTTAACTGAACGCGTGGCGTTTGATCGTGTCATCATGCCGCATTAACGCGACAGCATGCACAACAGCCAATAAAATTGCTGTATTTGAAACTATATTTGCATACTGTATGTGACACGATGGTACATTGGTATATATGTATACAAACATCAGACATCATGTTTATTCATGAAGGATGTTGTAATGGTACAACATGCATGCATGCAAACATCAAATGTTATAGTATAACATCGCCAGAATGTGCATTAGGGCTGTCAAAAATTTTTTTTAATTTCGAATATTCATCAAATTTAAAATAAAAGTCCACATTCGAATGCAAAAACATTGCATTCGAATTAAGGTGTGCATTAAGGTGGCGCACGAGATACGACGACAATGTAGGTGTCGTTGCATTATAATGTTTTTGTTAGCCTATCCAGTTGAAGCCACTGAATTCAGCCAGTCATTCAGCGCTGCTGAATTGTTAATTACAAATATTGCAGGAAAAGAGAACATCAATGCAGAGATGATGTTTACGTCAAAACTCAAAAGAAGCCGTTCACACAGAGCACATATGTTGCGCATTTTCTAGAGGGACATCTATCACCGTTGCACTCGCGTCTCGCACAAAAGAGCAAAAGAATGTAAAATTAATGTTCAACTTTGAAAAAGCATATCTCAAGACTTTATGGCGGGGTTTTTTCCCCATCCCACTGCAACCCGTGTTTTTAAATGAAAAATGTACTCTGTGTTATTGGCTTTCGGCCCTTTGTATTAAACTATGCATACATACATGATGCTGTTTTTTTATAGTTGTTTAAGCAACTTAATTAATTATAATCGGTTTATAAACATTATTTTAAACATTATGCACTTTTTTTTACAGATAGTTATGTTATCTTATGCTTTGAAGAAACGTGCATTAGTAATATGTTGCTCGATGCGCCTCTTGTGGCCTCAGGAAAGAATCCAAAAGCTTTTCTTCAACCTAACTGAAATTATGCATTTTAAATTCGAAAATAATTCGAATTTTGATCATATTAAAGTACAAAATTTGAATGTAGTTTTTCAGCCATTTTGACAACCCTAATGTGCATGTCTACACATGCAAAAGAGATGTATTCAAAATGGCCACGTTATTGTGGTCAAATTCCACACGTTCCATTTAAAGACTTTTGGCCCTGTCTGCCTTCCACACCACTTACAGGTAACAAACATGCGCTTCAAGTCACATAAACAGCACAAAAATGTACAGTAGTTCAACACAGCGATACAGATGCAATACTCCATCATAAGGCAGCAGCGGCACAATCAGAAAATGCACTAATCACATTAAAAATACATTCAATGGTGCGTTCAAGTCTTCCTGTGGAGTTCGTATTTATGAGCTAGGAATCATAATTATGATGTCAGGTGTGTTCAAATCACCTTTTCAAATCACTTGGCAAGATGTTGATGATGTTTTCTATGAAAAACAACTCTACCAATGTTTCCCACACATAAGGAAGATTCTTGCCCAGGAAGATAAAATTCGAATACCAATTTATGTATTTTCTGACCCATGTAAATTGCATTCTACAAAATTAAGAATAAAGAATTTGCATTAATTGTTTATTTTTTATAATTTTGTTAAATTCCCAAGTGCTGTAAACTGAATTGTTAAATATTATATCATAAATGAACAATAAAATACAAGTATTTTGTTAAATGTAATGTAATTTAATATATATATATATATATTTCAACAAATTTATCATCAATACAGACGCTGTATATGTTGCGTCTGCCATGTCGGAAACTCAGGGCTTAAAAAATCCTGCTTCAAAAAATTAGCGTTAACAAAAACTTGAGACTAAACTTGAGTGCGTTTATCTCATAAAATCTTTCTGGCTTGAACGCACCATTATTCACTGAAGATTTTCTTCCTGCTCAAGAAACTTGGAATAAAATCTTGAACTCATTGAAACATAGTCTGAAAAATCTTTGGCTTTCAAAGATTTGATCAACGTTTGCTCTCTCATACCTTGACAAACACCAGTCGGCCAGAATACAAACAAACAAAGGTCGAGAAGGAGGAGGGCAGCTCCTGTACACTCCTGTCGTTCCAGAGCCCAGTCCAGCCCGGGAGCCCTCAGAGTCCTACGAGTCCGCTCCAGAGTCAGTTCTGGTCTAGGAGTTCATTCCAGAGTTCGCTCTCATCTACATTCCAGTCCAGAGCCCGCTCCAGTTCCTCCCGAGGTGGCGGCTTCCGCTGCAGAACCTCCCGAGGCAGTGGCATCCACTTCAGCTCCTCTCAGCCCGCTCCTGAACTCTCTGCCTGTCCGGTCATGGCCAAGGAGGCCGTTCCTGAACTCTCTGTTTGGCCTGTTATGGCTGCAGAGGCTGCTGTTTACCTCTCCGTGCTCTCTATTCCAGCCCAGTCTGAGCCATCTTGGTGGTCTCAAGCACCATCAGCTCCACCCTGGTGGTCATCTGCTCCACTGTGGTGATCTTCGCTCCAGTCTGCTCTGCTGTGGTGTTCATCTGCTCCGCCCTGGTTCTCTGCCAGCCCCTTTCTGGCCTCTTACTCTGCCACCTCTACCCTGGTTTACCTCTGGCCCAAGGCCATCTTCCACCACACAGGCCTGACCCACCATCCCTCCCCCGGAGCGAATGTTGCTATTCATGAATGACACTCTCAACAGACGTCTCTGCATTTAGCATATAAAGCTTTCTTAAGGATGATCTAGGGCTGGGCGAAAAATCGAATGTGTGCTGGAGATTTACTACTAATCACCAGAAGCGGCATTACTGACGAGATTCGCATGAAAATCGCATTCGATTTTTTGCCCAGCCCTAGGATAATCACAAGGAAATATACAATTACATTTAAAAGTATACAGGTACAAACCTACTTTTCAAAAAAGGGAACTGTCAAAAGAGTATGAGTGACAAAATCATTATATCAGTGTGCATTTATATATTTTATCAAATAGTTTGCTTTTTCACGACCAACTTCTAACTGATTTTAAACAAGTGACAAATCAAATAATGTGCTTACACGACTGAAAGTCTCATCAAATTACTTCTGAAAAAGTTTGGTAAGTTAGAGTAATGTACTTATATGTAATAAATTGATAAAAGTGCCCTTTTTCAGTGAAGTGTTCATAAAAAGTCACACTGTGGCCACAAAGCTTAAGAGAGATAAAAAAAAAAAATGTTTTTCCTGGATTACTGAGGTGAGAGGACGCTGGCATTTTTTGTTCGCCGCTTCTCCA